AAAGACAGCTAAACCGGTTCATATATTATTTAGAGAGAGATATGTTCTAAAATTAACAAATCCACCTTTAGATTGCTATACATTACATTTGGATTGAAGAGATTTTCACAATGAGTTTCCACTATGAACATTAATGCTTTATGATGACTCTTGTAAAAGAATACCCAGGAAGTCACAAAATGACTTTTTCACAAGATGAGCACACAAATCATAATAGGACTTTTTAAAAGTGGTATACTCACTACTTTGCTACCATAAGTTAATGCCAGTGTCATAATAATTTAAAAGATGAAATCAAGAAAAAAGAAAAATAAATACATACTGTTACTTTAAAAATAAAGCAAAAATGCAAACATTCTAGAAATTCAAATATCAAAATAAGCTAAACAAAATATAATGAAAGTATAAAGTTGATCAGAACTAAATATAAAGTAATTGCTAAAATTACAAATTACTGAACAGACTATGGCTGCAACCTAAAACCAAGATTACTTTTTCCCTAAAAAAGACATTCAGAGCCCCAAAGGCCACCAATAGCAAGTCTTCTATACTTAGATATAAAACTGTGAAGAAGCCAAGTTCTTTAAGCAAGGTCTAACGTGATCATCTGGATCAATAGCCTTGTTATTTTGTTTCACAGCAATCTTTTCATGCTATAATTTCGTATTAAACTTTTAAAATATTCTTCTTTATGAGCATATATACTAAAGATAAAAGAAGTAACAAAAATGGCTACCTACAAAAGAAGTAACAGTATTCAGAATGGGGAGTAAAATCAGATGTAAACCAACAAAGCAGAACTGGAAAAGAATCTTCTGTGTTGCCTGGCAGCAAATTATCACCTCCCAGTGAGCTATTTCCACTTACCTCAGAATCCAACACAGAAAAGGAAAGGATGCATCTCACTAAAAGCTACAGGCCTCTCCTTCAGACAGCACTGGCTTACAAGTGCTTAGAACAGTGGTGGCGAACCTATGGCACGGATGCCAGAGGCGGCACTCGGAGCCCTCTCTGTGGGCACATGTGCCGTTGCCCCAGCCTCGCCTCCCCCCGCGACTCCCTCCTCTCCAGCAGCCCCCCTGAAGGAGACTCGCCCTCGAGCGTGGCCCACACAGAGCAGCGCAACCAAGGACATGGCAGTCAGGCAATGTAGACAAGACTCTGCCCTCACACCCCATCATACAGTTGATGCTGCAGGGCGCGGGAAGAGGGTGTGGCTGCCATAGCGCTGCTGGGCTGCCTGGGCGGCAGTGGGCCCTGGAGGCAGTGAGTGATCCTGTGGGTAGGCGGGGCGAGGGATGGGGGGGTTGAGCGGGGTGGGGCCAGTTTTTGGGCACTCGGTCTCTAAAAGTTTCGGCATCACTGGC